CCTTCGGTGGAGCTCCCTATGGGGCCACGAAACGTGTGAGGGATGATGACAGCGATGATGGCGATGATTATGGTGACAGCGATGATGATGATGATGATGATGACGATGATGGTGATGATGATGGTCGTGAGGATTATGACGATAGTGGTGATGACGGTGATGATGACGACGATGATAGTGATGATGACGACGATGGTGATGATGACGACCATGATGGTGCTGATGGCGATGACGATGACGATGACGATAGTGATGGCGATGACGACGATGATGATGATGATGATGATGAGAGGGAGGAGGGAGGAGGGGGGAGGAGGGGGCAGCGGGAGGAAGGAAGCAAGGAGACGCGGGGCACTGTTTTTTCAAAACGAGGACCCAACACAACAGGATGGTTGGAAAAAAAGGAGGCCGCAGGGGGGGGGGAGTGTTGAAAAACTGTGAAGTCCCCGGGGCCGGGGTCCCAGTTTCCCGTGTTATCTAGTGTATATACACACATACATACATAGATACACACATACATACATACATACATACATGCATGCATGCATGCAGACAAACAAACACACCGTCAAACCGAACTACACGTGTAGAATCCGCCGATCCGGCGTGTGAGTTGAAGGGGGGGGGCTGGGGGGGCTCTGCCGGGGTAGGGGGGGGGGTCTTCCACAAATTGGGTTCGGTTGGTCGGGGTTCGGTTGGCCAAAACGGGCCCAAACGTTGCCAAGAAGCCGCCAAGACGGGCCTAGACGTTTCTGGATCGCCCAAAAATCCATCCAAGACGCCGAACATGAACCCAAGACAGCCCAAGAGGCCGCCAAGACGCCCCCAGAGGCCCCCAAGAGGTCCCCCAAGGCCCCGAGCGGCCAAAATCATCGATTTCCCTAAGGAAAACCTACATGTTTTAGCATGTTCGCCTCTTGGGCCGTCACAGTGTCCACAACGGCTCAAGGGGCCCTCAAGATGGCCTAAGATGGGCTAACGCAGGCCGAGGAGGCCCCCAAGACGGCGCAAGAGGGACCCAGGACGGGCCCAAGAGGCGCCCAAAAGGGCTCCAAGACGGCCCAAGAAGGGCCCAAGACGACCGGGAGGCCCCCGGGAGGCCCCAAGACGCCCCCAAGAGGCCCCAAGAGGCCCCAACTCGCCCCCAAGGACCCCCCCAAAGGGGTGTGGCCGGGGTGGGTCTGCCGGGAAAGGAAAGGAGGGGGGAGGGAGGGAAGAAAAACGTTTTTAACCTACCATTTAATTGACTCGTCCCGCCCGCCACCCTGGGGAACCCCTTTTCTTATTGATTTCCCCATCCCGAGTATGTTCGGGAGGGTATCCGAGACCTTCCCCAGATCGGACGGGACCCGTCCCGGGACCCTCCCCAGGACCCTCCTCGAGACCGTCCCGGGACCCTCCCCAGGACCCTCCACCGGAACTCCTCCCCCGAACCCCCGGGCACCTCCCCGGAATGGAACGCGCTCTTGGATGTCCCGAGCGGTCCCGGGCGCTCCCGGCCCGTCCCGGCCGTCCCGGGCGGGGTCCTGCGCGATGCCAGACGCGGTGACGGGCAATCCCGAGAGCGATCCTGCACAGTCCCGGGCGCCACATCTTAATCACCATCACAACCACCATCACCATCACCAGCATCATCATCAGCATCAGCATCAGCATCCCCATCACCATCACCATCAGCATGATCGACATCATGGTCATTGCCATGATCAAACTCATCATCCTCCTTCTCATCATCAGCAGCAGCATCATCGTCATCAGCATCATCATCAACATCAGCATCATCATCATCATCATCATCAGCATCGCCACAACCAACACCACCACCACCACCACCACCACCATCATCATCATCATCATCATCATCATCATCATCATCATCATCAGCATCAGCAGCATCATCATCATCATCATCATCATCATCATCATCATCATCATCATCATCGGCGGCACTGGCCGGAGGCCATTTAAATTATTTATAGATATATATATACCACAGAACCACGCGCGCGCTTCGCGCGCGCTTAGGGTCTAGCTGCTCGAGTGCTAACCGCATTGAGAGCAACAAGACAGTCATGAATCATAACGTCAACGTTATCTGTTTCCTCCGGCCTCTTCCTCATAGCTCTCATCGACTGGTGATATGTCGCCAATCTACGGGACAGGAACAGTGCAGCGCTACGGCGCCATGTTGCACTATGCTATGGAATGCCATGATACACCATGCTACTGTATACGCGCAATGGCACGATGCAGTGCGCAATGAAATAAGATGATATACTCTACAGTGCGCATCGCATGCCATGCCATGCTGTGCTGTGAAATGCTATGACAGTAAAAGGGACGACACGCTGAACCATGTCATGTCATGTTCCCTATGAAGAGCGATGCTACCACATTACGTGGCATGCACAGGCACAGCATGCTGGGCTATGCAATGTAATGCAATGCCATGCTATGAGCTGCTAGGTTCGAATAAACAGGGCGACAGTAAGAACAACAAGGGGGTGTGATATTCGCATGAGTTCTGTTTAATGTTGCGCAGAGCGGTACAGTGCTGTTCGATTGATTTATGTGCATTGGGATGCCATAGTACGCCACGATGTGTCATGATATGCAATGCCATGCTAGGCTATGTTAGGTCATGGCGTGCAGTGCTGGGTTCAGCTAAGCTAGACACTGTTATGGAACGCAATGCTATGGCATGCTAAACCATACTGTGATATGCGCTGACAAGGTTAGCTATACCGTGCTGTGCCATGCCATGCCATGTATTGCAACGCTGCGATGCCACGATCGGCTAGGCGGTCCTTTGCTATGTACCGGTATGTTTTGGAGGCCTCTTGGGGGCCGTTTGGGGTGCCCTTGAGGTCTTTTCTTGGGCCTTGGGCGCTCGGAGCTCAATTCGCCCGCCTCGGCCTAGCCCTCCCGATTGCTCCTGTGAATGTGGCCCCCACAGCCACACGGGCAATCGGAACGCAACTCCCGCGACTCGCCCCCCCCCCCCGATTGAATGTGTGCCCCCACTGACAAATTGGCAATGGGAGCTCAACTCCCGCGCCTCGGCCTGCCTCCCCGATGGTCCATGTGACAGTGGGCCCGCTAACCACCTCCTTCCCCCCGCCTTGGCTGGGCCTGCACGTTTGCCAGTGGAATGGCTGCCCATTGGGCAATTCGGGCCCCGGAGCTACATAGATACTGCAAAGGCCTTATGGAAGACCACCGAAGAGCCGCGCGACAGCATCCTAATGACCCCATCGCGAGCTTCGTAACAACAGGGGCCCCAACGGGGGCACCTGACTAAGAGACCATGGAACATCGAGTTTGACAACTTACGTTTTCGGCTCAATGTTTGCGCCATCCAGAACGTCTCCATTGCAATTTCCACCGCTTCTTTGGGTGCGCGACCATCTCATCTGCATCGATCGCAAAATCGTCGCGACAAGGTTGGCACCGAAGCCACAAATTCGAAACAACTGGGTGCAAACGGTGAGCCGTAAACCTGGTCACCGCCGGAAGCCTCGTAGAGTTCCTCGCGCGCGTTGTGTTCCTGGTGGCCACAGGTCTTCGCTCCACCGAATGCCTCACTGGCAAAGTGCCGCATAGCGTCTCTCCGCCCATTCGGGGACACCCCTCGCCTGAAACATTCCTTGGTCCCGCGGGTAGCTGGCTGGTCCGATTGGCGTCAGCAGCTAAAGCTCTTGTCCCCCGAAGCATACTAAAGCGGTGAGGCATAAGCACTTTTCGCTTCACGCGGCTAAGAATACAGCGTTTGCACATGCTTTGTGACTTCAAAGACTTCACGACGAGCTCAATGGAAGTTGCGGAAGAGTCTTCTAGGAGCCCTCTTGGGGCAGTCTTGCGATCCTCTTTGGGCGTCTTGGGGTCTTCTCGGCCCGCCTTCGGCCTCTGCGAACTCCCTTGAGCCCTGTTTGGAAGCGTCTTGGGGCTGTCCTGGTCTGTCGTGAAGCTCTGTTGGGACCATCTTGGAGTCCTTTCGGGGGCATCTGAGTCCCGCGCAGCCCTCTTGGATTCATCATGAGAGGACAGAAATGACACGATGACTACTAATAAGACTGCCGCATGGTTTGACTTATGCTGGTCGCCTAGATATCCTCGTGGGACCCTGGGGTCATCTTGGATGCATCCTGGGGCCCTCTCGGGCTGCCCTTGGGCCCTCTTAGGCGACGTTGGCAACGGTTAGAACCTTTTTCCATTTGGAGCAGCATTTACCAGGCAATGTCTGGGGTGCGAACGACCCAGCCGTGCACCCACCGACCAACGACCCACGGAGAGGGAAGAAGGAGGAGGAGGAGGAGGAGGAAATGGAGTCGTGGCGGAACCTGGATAAAACTGGAACGGCAATGGGCCCCCTGCTATATGCGGGCGCTCCCACTGCCACTCCCACTGTATCCCACTGCCATCTCACAGGGCTCACACTTTGGCCCCGACGTTCTGACTTCAATGCGCGTTGCATGCTGGCGGGCGTGGCATTGGTAGCATGAAGAAGATGGAGATGATGAGGAGAGAGCAGAGAGGAAACGGGGTAAGGACAAAAACGAGGGGCAAAGGATGAGGAGCAGCAGGCAATGAGTCAAACAATGAACCAGCCAGTCCAGACAAAAAGTCCTCACGTGGGCCTCACGCGGGCTGCAACAGCGTAGCTGCGCCACAGCAAGTTCGCGGCTCGCGGCGCTTTCAAAGTCAAAATTAAAACCCAGAACTGGTTCGAAGCTTCGAGCCTCGAAAAAGACTCCCTGGATCCTCCTCCCCCCCCGTCACCCTCCCCAAAGATCTCAAGCAAAATTGGGAGGCAACATGGGAAGCGGCCGTTGGAACGCAGAAGACACTGGGCAGCAGGAGCGGACTCCCCAGTGAGAAAAGAACTCTGTCCAGCTCAAACTATAATCCCATGGTCAAGTACTAGATGGCCGCCCCGTACGCAGGGCTCACGACCCTTCCCAATCTCAGCCCCAGAATTCAAGTATCTCTGCGCCCCAGCCTCACGCACAGGCGGTCGAAAGAATAACCGCGATGATGGCTGCGGTCATGGTCGGCTCTCCAACGCCTGAGGCACTCTCGATGTCTGGTGCCGGCGTCGGTGAGGGGGTCGACGGGGAGCACTCAAGCCACTTGCGCGTCTCGCCGGCCACGGTGGAGTCCAGGGCCTGGTCACAGTTGGAGCCGCCCTGCACGTAGCACCAGGTCTGGTTCCAGTCGGCGGTGGCACTGCAGCCCTCGTACGACTCCATACACCGTCCGGCATCGCCATCGTAGTTCCACTCCGTCATGCAGTTGCAGGAGCCGCACTCGCGCCACTTGCGCGTCTCACCAGCCACGGTGGAGTCCTGGGCCTGGTTGCAATTGGAGCCGCCCTGCACGTAGCACCAGCTCTGGTCCCAATCGGCCGTGGCGCTGCAGCCCTCGTACGCCTCCATAACCCCGTCGGCATCGCCATCGTAGTTCCACTCCGTCATGCAGTTGCAGGAGCCGCACTCGCGCCACTTGCGCGTCTCGCCGGCCACGGTGGAGTTCTGGGCTTGGTTGCAATTGGAACCGCCCTGCACGTAGCACCAGCTCTGGTCCCAATCCGCCGTGGCGCTGCAGCCCTCGTACGCCTCCATAACCCCGTCGGCATCGCCATCGTAGTTCCACTCCGTCATGCAGTTGCAGGAGCCGCATTCGCGCCACTTGCGCGTCTCGCCGGCCACGGTGGAGTTCAGGGCTTGGTTGCAATTGGAACCGCCCTGCACGTAGCACCAGCTCTGGTCCCAGTCCGCTGTGGCGCTGCAGCCCTCGTACGCCTCCATAACCCCGTCGGCATCATCGTAGTTCCACTCCGTCATGCAGTTGCAGGAGCCGCACTCGCGCCACTTGCGTGTCTCGCCGGCCACGGTGGAGTCCAGGGCCTGGTTGCAATTGGAACCGCCCTGCACGTAGCACCAACTCTGGTCCCAGTCGGCCGTGGCGCTGCAGCCCTCGTACGACTCCATAACCCCGTCGGCATCGCCATCGTAGTTCCACTCCGTCATGCAGTTGCAGGAGCCGCACTCGCGCCACTTCCGCGTCTCGCCGGCCACGGTGGAGTCCAGGGCCTGGTTGCAATTGGAGCCGCCCTGCACATAGCACCAACTCTGGTCCCAGTCGGCCGTGGCGCTGCAGCCCTCGTACGACTCCATGACCCCGTCGGCATCGCCATCGTAGTTCCACTCCGTCATGCAGTTGCAAGAGCCTCGCGCCACTTCCGCGTCTCGCCGGCCACGGTGGAGTTCAGGGCCTGGTTGCAATTGGAGCCGCCCTGCACGTAGCACCAACTCTGGTCCCAATCGGCCGTGGCGCTGCAGCCCTCGTACGACTCCATGACCCCGTCGGCATCGCCATCGTAGTTCCACTCCGTCATGCAGTTGCAAGAGCCGCACTCGCGCCACTTCCGCGTCTCGCCGGCCACGGTGGAGTTCAGGGCCTGGTTGCAATTGGAGCCGCCCTGCACGTAGCACCAACTCTGGTTCCAGTCCGCCGTGGCGCTGCAGCCCTCGTACGACTCCATAACCCCGTCGGCATCGCCATCGTAGTTCCACTCCGTCATGCAGTTGCAAGAGCCGCACTCGCGCCACTTCCGCGTCTCGCCGGCCACGGTGGAGTTCAGGGCCTGGTTGCAATTGGAGCCGCCCTGCACGTAGCACCAACTCTGGTTCCAGTCGGCCGTGGCGCTGCAGCCCTCGTACGACTCCATAACCCCGTCGGCATCGCCATCGTAGTTCCACTCCGTCATGCAGTCGCAGTCGCCGTTTTCGCCTATCACGCAACTGACCAAGGCCGCGCAAAGGACAGCTGCCAACTCCATGACGATTGGTTTGGCCATCGGTACCCGCGCGCCTGTGGGGATGGCAAATTGGATCGCGAGGACAGCGTCGCAAAATGGCTACGGAACCCTTTTGGGCCGTCTTGGGCCCTCTTGGGTCTCTCTTGAGCTGTGTTGGGGCTCCGCGGGGGCGTCTGCTGTGAAGATGAAGCCAGCGAATATGCTGAACGGGAAATCATCATGTTCCCGGAGAGGCTTCCAGGAGCATGATTTCGAACGAGGCCCTCTTGGGCCTCCCTGAGGCCGTCTTGGGGGCCTCCAGGGCCGGCTGTGGCGCTTCTTGGGCCGTCTCGGGGGGTTCCGTGAGCCCCACAGGCCAACCCTTTTGGGCCGTCTGGGGCCCCCTTGGGTCTCTCTTGGGCTGTCTTGGGGCTCCTCGGGGGCGTCTGGGGCACTGTGGACACGAAGCCAGCGAGTATGCCGAAAACGCACGTTTTACGAAGGAAATGGGCAAATGTTTGCCTCTCTTGGGGCGCTCTTGGGCGTCCTCGGGGCCTCTTCAGGCTTTCTTGACCATCTGTACTGCCCGCGTGGCCTGTCGTGGGCAATTTGGAAGCGGCCCGGGGCAGTCCCGGGGGGTCTGTGACCCCCCAAAGGGTCGGGGGGGGGCGGCCATGGGGGATTACGGCACCGATTTTGACCCCCCCCGCCCTACTCTATGTCTACAACTATGTGCATGCTGATATATATATATATATATATATACACACACATATATGTATATATATATATAAACATACATATACATACATACATTCAAGACATGCATACATACATACATACATACCTACATACATTCATTCATGCCTACATACCTACCTACCTACCTACCTACCTACATACATACATACATACATACACACCTTACATGCATACATACATACATACATACATACATACATACATATGTACATACATACATACATACATACATGCATGCATGCATACATACATACATACATACATATATATGTATATATAAGGCATACATACATACCTACATACACACAGACAGACATGCATACATGCATGCATGCATGAATGCATGCATGCATGAATACATACGTACATACATACATACAGGCATACATGCATGCATACATACACGCATATATACGTACATACATACACGCGTGTACACAAACATACACACATATACATAGATGCATACATGCATACCTATATACATACATACATGCATGCATGCATACATACATACATGCATACATGCATACATGCATACATGCATACATGCAGACATGCAGGCATGCAGACATGCATACATGCATACATGCATGCATGCATACATGCATACATGCATACATGCATACATGCATACATGCATGCATGCAGACAGACAGACAGACAGACAGGCATTACATACATGCATACATACATACATCCATGCATGCATGCATGCATAAATGCATGTATGCATACATACATTCATACATACATACATACATACAATACATACATACATACATACATACATACGTACATACATACATTCATTCATACATACATACATACATTCATACATACATACATACATACATACATGCATGCATACATGCATGCATGCATGCATGCATACATGCATACATATATGCAGACATACATAGATGTGTATATGTACAAGGATTTACACGAATAACAAGGAGAGAGAGGGAGAAAAGAGAACAACATAAACAACAACAAAATGTAGTGCTATACTAAGCTATGGAATGCTTCGCTCAGCCATGTTATGAACTGAATGTTGTGAAATGAATAGATGTGGCATGATATGATATGCACGGGCACGGCTTGGATTCCAGGCTCCGCGATGAAGTGCTATGAAATGGTTTGAGGTTGTTCAGGTTAGGCAATGACAAACTATTGAAAAAACTGTACTGTGGCATTCGCATGTTATGACATTCATTGTCGTGCACTGCAATTCCATGGTGTGGTGCGACATGTACGGTTTAGCAATGGAGTGTGCTGTGCAACGCCGTTATGTGCAATGGCATGCTCTGCCATGGAATGCAAGGCAAGGATATGTTATGATGTGCAGTGCACTGCTGAGCTAGGCAATGCTATGTGACGCAATGTTTTGTCATCCGATGCTATACTATGCTGTGCACTATCCCGCTTCGATGTGTCAAGCTGTGCCAGTCGCTGCCATGCGATGCAACGCTGCAGTGCACCGGTATGCTAGACGGTGCGGTGCTGTGTTTTGCTGTGTTCAGACTTTGAACTGTGATGAGTCGCTGTGCAACACCTATCTCACTATCTGGCGGCATACTGGCTCTGGGCCGACGGGATCGAGGGAAGCTTTTAGATCACTCTGCACGCAGAGAGGACGGAGGGGCGAAGGGAGAGGAAAAGGGGAAGACAGAGGGACCCATCTTGGGGGCACCTGGGGAGACGTAGGACATACCTTGCATTTCATTGCATCGCACACTCGACTGTTCTCGCGCCGAGGGTGTTTTCCCCCTCGACCTGCAGAGGCGCGGCCTCTGCAGGAGGCGTCCGGAGCCTGCCTCGGCTGCCAGACCGCGTCTGCCTCGGACTGGCGGAGAGATCAGTCAGGCCTGCAGCGGTAGGACCACGCCGCCAGAAGATGTGGCCCTCCCGTGCTGCCGCACCGCCCGGGCAACAGGCAGCACGCCAGCACCACGCGAGCCGTCGAAGCCGCACGGCTGCTGCACACAATGCCGCTGCCGCCGCATGGCGGCGGTCCGACAACGAGCAGCACAACTCTGCAACCGCATGAGGGGGGCACCAACTGCAACTATGCAGCAACACCGACCCTGAGCAGGCTCATCCTGGTTCCAGGATCGCTGTATACGCCCTCCTGGCTTTGGCAGGGCGGCAAATACACCATCCTGGGCCCAGGATCGGCCTGGCCAGGGTCGGTGTAGGAGCACAGCTGAAACGAAACACGCGCGTGGATAGTCAAAGTTGAAACGAAACAAACGCGCCACATTCGCTCCACTTGATCCCACTCCTCCCCCATACCCCTGACCTGTTTCATCCTCCTCCTCCTCCTCCTCCTTCTCCTCTACTTGTCATGGTTATCATTATTGTTGTCATTCGTATTAGTAGTAGTACTAGTAGTATGACTATTATTCTTACTAGTAGCCGTATCATCCGTATTATTAGTACGATTAGCATTAGCATTTGCATTAGTAGCACCGCTAGTACTATTACTACCACTAGTAGTATCATTAGCATTATCATCAGTAGTAGTAGTAGTAGTAGTAGTAGTAGTAGTAGTAGTAGTGGTAGTAGTAGTAGTATTAATAATAGTAGTAGTAGTAATATAATAGTAGTATAGTTATAGTAGTAGTAGTAGTAGTAGTAGTAGTAGTAGTAGTAGTAGTAGAAGTAGTAGTAGTAGTAGTAGTAGTAGTAGATTCGTAGTGGTAAAAGTAGTCGTAGTAGTAGAAGTGGTGGAAGTTGTGGAAGTAGTAGTAGTAGTAGTAGTAGTCGTAGTCGTAGTCGTAGTCATAGTCGTAGTCGTAGTCGTAGTCGTAGTCGTAGTCGTAGTCGTAGTCGTAGTCGTAGTCGTAGTCGTAGTCGTAGTCGTAGTCGTAGTCGT